CTTATCCAATGTTCTTAGCATCTGACAGTTGCTGTCCAAGAAGAGCATCACATTGTGCTGGAGCAACCTCCCGACTGACCTGCTCTGGTGACAATGGGATTACTTCCTCTTTTTGTTTCCTCTTTTCCAATCTCAAGGAGGTCATGAAGAAAACCAATTTGAAGACGTGGACAGCATCAAGATGGCCATGACAAAGAGCTGCAGACGACTGTGGAAAAATCCTGCCAGGATTGAATGAAGCCATGATAAAGAAGTCTGAGAAAGTGCTTCAGTGTCCAAGAGGAAAAAAATTGTAGTTTGTTGAAATATTTCATTTCAGAAAGTAGACTAATCTTTAATTGAAGGCATCATTATTATCATCTTTAATCTATTTTTAAAGCAAAGCTCTGGCTGGCAGAGCTATGGGGGAGCGAGGGTGAGGGTTGTCACAGACAGATGCACAATCGAGGTGCAAGGTGGCCTCCAAATGCCCACTTGACAGTGGCTAACATTTCATCATCCCCAAGTGGAGATTTTTTTGCAGTCCCTTATAAATGCACTTGGTGCGTGCCTCCCCTGCACTGAAATTAAAAGGAATGAGACGAGTTGCTTCCATTGGATGGGAGGCAAGTTAGCTGTGTTCACCCCCACAATGGCGCAAACACACATTTCTTCCTCTGTGCATCTACAAAAACACCAAAAGAAAGAAATCATTCACATTTAGAACACACCTTGCACTAGACTTGTGCTGGGCATAAAAATAGGTTCCTTAGTGTCACCATGAAAGAGGTTCAAACCATTTGTTGTTTTACTTTAAAAAAAAATGGTTTCTCCTCTTTCCTACTCCACTGGGATAACTCTGCTGCATTTTCCTCACAATGAGCCAAGTCCCTGCAACAAGCTTCTTCCTGAATCAAGCCTGCACATGGGCACAAAGAAAATGGAATAGTTAATTGCATGAGAAGGGGGCGGGGTTTAGCGAAGCACGCAAAAGGCTTGAAACAATCATGATTGATAAAACATGCTAAATCTATGAACTAAAACGAAGACAATCAGTACTGTTTGCTTTCAAAAAAAAATGTATTCCTCAGTTTTTATGACAATTTGTAGGTTGTTGGCAATCTGACAATGGCCGATGTTCGCCTCAAGGTTTCTGTGGCGTGAACGAAGTGTGTGCTGAAGTTCTGTGCCTCTTTTGACCTCTTGTGCTTCGACATGTCACGTGACCAGCATCACATGCACACTACCTCGATCTCAACCGCGCTGTTCCATACCCATCGTTGTACACCTCATCTTAACCAAGCAAAGGCATCTTTCTGCACAATAAAGCAGGTCAACAAACAAAAAGCAATTATGTTGGGCAGCTGCCGCCTGGGAGTGGGTAATTACAGTGCAGCGTGGACAGCTTCATTCTAAACAGGTACTAAAAGCATCATTAATCATCCCCCCTCTGAAGCCTCGCCCTGCATGGTCATGTGATGGTGGCTGCGGATGAGCTCAGGGGGTTGAGTGGGCTGTGGGGGTGGCGGGGGTGTGGCGTGGGGGTCGGGGACAGGGAGGGATGTGCCGTAGGAGGGGAAGAAGCAGAATGTGATTGGCCCTTTCTTCCAGTTGTCCTTTTAGAGGTCAGCCACTCAGCAAAGATGACCTGCCGATGACCTTGTGTTACTTGACCCCTGAGGGACTGGGGCTCATTGGCTCATGGCAGCAAGGTGGTCGGGAATGACCATGTGGACATGATGCGATTTGAAGAGAAGAATTCGGATGAGCCGAATAGGAAAACATTCAGACAACTTGTCGCTTCATGAGCTTTACTGTCAAGCTGTGCTATAAAAGGAGATAGCGTGCATTGTATGTTGATGGCTCATTTATCATATGTTAATGGTAATGAGCAGCATTGATGTGATACCTTTTCCTACTCTCCCTTTCAGATTGGCAATAGAGGTTTCAGTATAGTGATACTTAATTGTACAATAGTGTAAATGTTTCACGTCTTCGTTTTTTTATTTATTACATGTCGGAAAGAAACATTCACCAACCAAACGCAACCTTTAAATCTCCCAGTAAGTAGTGTGAACTGCACTGAGGCTATAGCAGCAACAGACAGCATGACAATCCATTGTGTCCTCTGTGACGTGCAGCTAAGATGGCGGCTGACAGGAATCTGATTGGGAAAAGTTCATGAACTGTTGCCTCAGCCGACTGACACGATGCTGCTGGCTGACAGATGAGACAAGAAAGACACATCAGCACGTCCTCAGACGAAGGCGCATCTCAGCCTTTCTCCTCCACCTGCACCCTTTCCACACCATCCTC